AACAAAGCAATTGTAAAAGCGACTATCTCATCAGCCTGCATTCGCATGGAATGAAGACTCCCAATTCTGTTCCTTGAGGTATCTTCACACCTACCTATAAACAGAAACAGGCACACATGAAATTCTGAGATTCTTTGACATATAAAAGTGTGCATTTATGGTGTACATCTTCATATGTGACTCGGAAAACATTGCCAAAATCAAGCCAAAAACCTTATCCGGTACTTCCACAATTAGCTGAGAGAGAGAGAGAGAGAGAGAGAGAGAGAGAGAGAGAGAGAGAGAGAGAGAGAGAGTCAGTCTGCCTCCCAATTGAGATTTACACTAAGATGCACCACCATAGGATAGGCCAGGAGAGACTGTATACAGATGGTTAAGGTGCTTCCCTTGCATGTGGTCAACCCTGGTTTGAACCCCATCACTGTATGGGGACCCCCCAAGAGCACAGAGCCAGGAATAAGCCCTGAGAACTGCTGGGTATGGCCCCAAAACAAAAACAGGCGGGGGGGAGTATCTTAGAAAATTTCAACTATTTCTCTACTCAACAAAAGTGCTCAATTAGGAAGGAAGTCTTCATTTATATTACTGCCTTGGCTATGGTTTTATCAGGAGTCACATAAAACAAAAGACCGTGCTCAAATAACTAAAACTCAATTAATTCCAACAATACATACACAGCGCAGATCGATAGATACAAAGCATAATAGCTTTTGTCTCATCAGTAGATACAGAATGTAATAGCTTTTGCCCTCATCAATCTGCTACATATAGCTTATCTAAGCAACAAGAGCAACAGCTAATTTTCCACCGTCCCTGCTGTTTATTAATTTTGCAATATCCCGAAAACTTCCATAAGACGATCAATGTGTCAAAATTTCTTTAATGACAAAATTGCAGTTGACTATTACGACTAGCTGTACTTTTAGGTCTTAAGGCTCGTGCAGACAAGAACAGTTCTGCCAAAGGAAATATTTCCCGATGAATCGATCAACTAGTTTACAATAAAATGGTAGTTTTACCGAAGAGAAAACCTGGGCCTCTCGTTTCTTATCTCCATGGCTGAACTGTTTTTCAAGGGGGTGGAAGAGACCAGAGAGATAGTGTAGTGGGTAGAGCACTTGCCTTGCACATGGCCAACCTGGCATCCCACTCAGTTCCCCAAGCCCACCAGGAGTGATCTGAATGCAAGAGCCAGTCGTAACCCCTGAGCACTGCCACACCAAAAGATAAAATGAAAGAAAGAAAATAAAGAGGTGGAGAAGTATCTTTCTTGTCCACACACTAAAAACCTTGCTAGACCATCAAGAATCCATGAGGATACCACCCACCACAGCATGGAGTGTTGCCTCCTGAACCCAAAGCAGGAGAAATAACCCTGCATGGGAGCAAGAACAGCCACCACCATGCTGAGACCACTCTCCGTACACACGAAGGTACTGGCAGAGGGACAAAGTCATGTGGGTTCCGGGGCCAAGATCTTCAAGCCTACTCGGATTGGGGCCGGGCATCCTCCACCCAGATCCTCCAAACTCCAGTAGGCAGGGGTCACACCCACCAACCGGGCCCCTGGCACCGTGTAATCCCATCAACGGCCAAGACCCAGAGACTATAAAAACCAGCTCCCGGAACCGCCGCATTTGGGGCCGCGTGACATCTTATTATCTCATTCCTACTTTGGACAAACTGGCAGGCTACCGAATGTAACCTGCCCACACGGCAGAATCTGGCAAACTCCCCGTGGCGTACCCAATATGCCAAATACCAGTAACAATGATGGGTCTCATTCTCCTAAAGAGCCTTGAATATAATCTCAGGGCTAGGATGAAGGAGACGTTACTGGGGCCTGCTCGAGGCAATCAACGATTAACAGGATGATTTGTGATTGTGATTTGTGGGAGCAAGAACAGAGTTTGCAGGATAATTACAGCACAGAAGAACCCCCATGAAATGAAAGACACCCAGGAACAGTGGATTGACAAGCTCCGCTACACAAATCTACTGATCACTTCTAATGCAGTAGTCACCTATTGAAATCAAACTGCATTTGAAATTCATTTCACAGAGACAACTTCCTAACTTCAGGAAGGCCCCTGTGGAATCAGTGACGAACTATGTGCATTAAAACTGGTTGTTTTTCAGCAGTCTTCAGAATCAACAATGAATGGGTCCCTGAGACACTTGTCCTCATACCAGCCGTCCCATGCATCACCCCAGATTCCATTTGCTTGACTCGCAGATGGACGGTTACCTTACTAAAAATGTAATCCATGCCACAGGAGGGACTGAGTCCTGCTATGCAATGAAGATACGGGATAGAGGATTAGACCAGTACGACAACCCTTCGTGCCATCAAAGGTGTAAACGGAGCACCATCGTGAGTTAGAATTCTTAAGAAAACACAAGGCAAGGGCCAGGGCAATAGTACAGTGGGGAGGGTACTTGCCTTGCATAAAGCTGACCTTGGTTTAATCCCTGGCATCCCACATGGTCCCCAGAGCAATGTCAGGGGTTATTCCTGAGTGCAGAGTCAGGAGAAAGTCCTGAGTATTGCTGGGTATGGAAGGCAGGAGGGAGGGAGGAAGGAAAGAAGGGAGGGAAGAAGTGAGGGAAGGAGGCAAAGGAGGGAAAGGAGAGGAGAGGAGAGGGGAGGGGAGGGGAGAAGACGGGAGGGGAGGGAAGGGGAGGAGCAAACACAAGGCCAGGCCCAGCTAACCTGGGGACTCCCTGGGCGGGAAGTTGGGGAGGCATCCTACAGCCTTTGGCGCTCTCCTCTCCTGACACAACAGAACAGCAAGGAAGGACAAGGACACCTGCCAGCTTTCAGCTGCAAGGCAATGAGCCCACTTGAGGAAACACGGTTCGGGGAGTGTGGAAGTCACTCCATTGTGGAGTCAGTCACACGGGTTCCATGGACACCGAGAAGAGATGTTGCCCCTGACCCCCTCAGCTCCCTCCCTCCCACTGTTCCCCAGCACCCAGATAGCTTGGCTCCAGCCCTCGGAGGCCAGGGCATCTGTGCCCCAGTGCTGAATCAGCAACACATGGGAAGTGCTGAAGGGAATTCTCACCATTTTGAGTCTGATGCCATCTTTTTTACCTTATTTAAAAAACAAAACAAAAACAGGGGGCAGGGAGGCATGGGGCCATGTGCATGCCGTGTTTCATATCTCTGGCACCCCACAGAGTGCCCCCAGCCCCATCAGGGACGACCCCTGAGCACGGGGTCAGGAATAAGCCCTGAGCACCGCAGCATTTTTGGTTTTAGCAAAAACTACAAAGAAACAAACTTGAAGGGTTTATCAAACAGTGATAGTTGGCCTAGTGACCCACTCTGGACAAGAACTGTGTGCTCAAAGTAGATACGTGAGGACCTTTCAGTACGGTATTGCAAGCCATAATGCCCGAAAGGAAAGAAAGGAGAGAAAGAGTGCAAGAAAAAGAAGAAAAGTGGTGGCGGGTGGGGGAGTGTCAGGAGGAGAACTGGAAAGGTCGTGGTAGGAAATGTCCTCTGATGAAGGAACAGGTGCTGCAACTTGTGTGACTGAAACCCAATCAAGCACAACTTTGTAACTACGTATCTCACCCTGATTCAATTAAACCAACAAAAAAAAAGTTTTTGTCAAAGACACTCAGTAGTGAGAGAGCTCAGAGAGGCCTAGGCTTGACTCAAGCACCTGGTGTCAACCAACCACCAGACGCTCCAGTCCCCGCAAGCCAGCAGTGTTGGGATGTGGGCAGAGACCCACGCCTTTCCTTGGGTCAGAATCTGGGGTGGAAAACTCAGCTGACTTCTGTGCTCAAGTCACATCAACTAACTACACTCATGACTCAGAGCCGAATTTATGCATTTGGAAAAAAATTAAGACACTGGGAGACGCTCCACTGATAAGACTGCACAGGAACAACCATTTAGTAAAGGCAGTGGCTCGCCAATTTCTGACCGGCAGCCCGGGATGCATGGGGCACAGACGACCTGTGGCTGTCCAGGCCGGCGGAGACCAGATGGAGGGGCGGAATGAGCAGAGAGCAGCATGTGGGACCCTCGGGACTGAGCTTCCGGGAGTGACAGTCCCAGTGGGCCTTCCCCAACTCTGTTGGACTTTCCTTTTCTGTTTTGCTTTTGTTCTGTGGGGCTGGTGTCAAACCCAAGGTCTCGCACACAAAGGCCAAGAGCTCTCCTCTGAGCCACATCCCTGAGCCCCCAGCTCTGCTCTGTCTTGAGGGGACAGGCAGACACAAGCCTCGAGGAGAAAGGACGGTCTGCAGACACAGGCCACGGAGCTCTCTGGACGGACTCACCACAGCACTAGGGGCTGCACAGCACCCTCACAACACTCACCCTGAAACCCTCTTGCATATACTTACCGACCACCAGACACTGCAGACATTCCACATCCCCCGAGCAATGCCAATGACCTGCACACAACATCCATCTCACCTCCTGAGCCCACGTTACTACTTCCAGCACTGCTGCCTGGGTGCTCACTCAGACGTGGCCCAGAGTAGTTTACTCCAGAGTCTCTGTCAGAGCAACACAGCCTTCCCTGGCTGGCCCAAAGTACGACAGTAGAATGTTCCAATTGGGTATGGCGTGGCAGGTTATATTATGGGTCTGGCACTGAGGAACATTCCCCCCCCCCCCATATGAATGAATGATATTCACAGTCCCTCAAACACACACACACACACACACACACACACACACACACACACACACACCACCCCCAATCAAATCATGCCAAATAGAATCTATCCAATAGTGGGATGGCAGAAACCATGAAAAATGAGCCTCGATTTGCTTCGTTGACTCTATCTCCGGTTACTCTCCCTTTGATTTACAAAGCAAAACAAAGCAAGTTTCCGTGTTAACATAAGAAACTCAATCTGTTCCCAATAGTTAAGAGAATTTAAACATCAGCCACACTATGTTAAAAAATAAAAAAAAAAAAAAAATCATTACGCAATGATCAAACCACTAAAGAACAGATGGTACAAAAAGGTTTGCATTTCAATAGAACTAGCTTTATTATTAATAATTTTTTTTTTAAACAAAAGAAAGTCTAAAAGCAAATGCAGGTTATGTACCAAGGGGTGAACGTGGCCTGGTACTTACAAAGGAGCGCTGTGTCAGAAACGAGAACAGCATGTTAGGAGAAAAATACTATTTCAGGTGCCGTCTGCTCGAGTAACCTAGAGACTCGAGTTAACTGAGAGGCGGTCAGCCAAGCAATCAGCGTGAACGAAAGAGGGAAAACCAATACCACCGGAAGTCGCTCCCAGAGAACTCTGCGGCCTCGGCGTGAGAACTGGCATCAACTCACTGTCTTCTCATTTTCCCCATTCTCTATGATTTTCCTCTTCTTCTCGTCTGTTTTTTTCTTGAAGATGTTATTTCGGTAAAACTGAAGCTCTTTGATGCTTTCACTAATGTCATCGAGCGCCCTGCGAGCAAACACACCGAGCTGAGTGGGGTGCCCGGGAGGAGGGGGCACTCCCTCGGGGAGCGGCACTTTGCCGGGCACGACCACACACAGCAGCCACCCGGGCCAAGGGGACGACTTCTGCCAAGCAGAGGTAAGGAGGTTTTGTTCTTCTTAAAAATAAAGGTTTGATTAAAAAATAACCTCAAGCGTGACAAGAGTCAAGTTTCCCAAACCGTTCCCTAAGGTGCTGGGCTGTGCCATGGCAAGGGGCAAAAATGAATTCCAAGCTCAAAAGGTTTAGGAGGGCCAGAGCGCCAGCACAGCGGGGAGGGCGTCTGCCTTGCACCGCGGCCAACCCGGGTTCCATTCCCCAACATCCCATATGGCCCCTGAGCACTGCTAGGAAAATTCCTGAGTGCAGAGCCAGGAGTAATCCCTGAGCCTTGCCAGGTGTGACCCAAAAAGCCAGAAGGAAAGAAACAAAAAGTTTAGGAAAATCTCAAGTCTCTGTCCAAAGTGCTCTGGGGAACACTGACGGAGGGCACTGCATGCATGGTGGTGGGCACTCCAAGAGGAGGGAGCAGGGGCCTCCAGCCATGGGTGCTGAGCCTGAGGTGACCACTGCACTGGACTCTGTGACCAACCCGTGGGACAGGGTTCGCCTGCACAAAATGGGACCTGACTCAAGCCACCAGCACTGGGACAAGCAGAGAGCGGGTGACCCCCTGCTGCGGGGTGACCCCCCCCCCCCGCTTAGCCCCCCAATATCCTCCATCTCTCAGTCCTCCTCCTCCGGCCACAGGATGCTTCCCCTGCTATAGTCTGGGGAGTCGGGGGAGCACTGCACAGTGAGCAGGCCAAGCACCAAGCTCTGAGCAACAGGGGCCAGGGACCTCTCGTGGAGAGCGAGCTGCAGGCACTCAGTATCAGTCCCACCAAGGCAACTTCTGGGCTGCAGGCAATGGCCTGGCTCCTCCCATCCATGGGGGCAGTCAGAGCCCTCAGGAACGCAGCTTCCGGGTAGCTGAGGCCTGGGACCCCTGATCCCTGACCCCGAAATCCTATAGAGACCTGAGAGTCCAAAATACTTCCAGAAGACCGTGTGCAGCCAAACGAGAGCCTGCGAGGCCAGGGCGAGCCGGGCACCACACTGCAGGAGCTGCATCAGGCAGGGAAAAGGGCAGCCTCAGATCTTGTCTGCGGACGGTGACGCCAAGAGCAACACAAAAGGGCCGCTCCGGCCTTTCTGAAACGGGAGAAGATGACCAACTCTCCCAACTACCAACTGCTCCAGCCAGGCATCCCGGTCCAGCTCTGGGAGGCCACAAGGGCGCGTCCACGGCACCTCTCCCACTGCTCCACAGGGGAGGGACTGCAGGGGGCCCGCACACGTGGTTGCAGAGTGGCCATGCACCCCACTGCCGAGTGGCACATTCCTCCCAAGGAATGCCAAAGAGGACACTAGACTCGCCCCACCAGGGTCTTTAAACCCCTCACGCATCTGTGCCCAAGGAAGGACTAGAAACAGCCATCTGCAAAAGAATCCAGAAGATATTCAGATTCACGCAGCCTGCCCGAAGAGGTTCCAGGTAGCCCCCAAGCTGACTGGGAAGTTACTGCTGCCCATCTAGGACCCAAAAGGATTCCAAGAGCTGTACAAAGTGAGTCCCCTCGATTTCAGAATGGCAGTAAGGACCCAGACGCCACCCATCTCCAGATGAATCTGACTCAAGTCCCTGAAAAAATTCATTTGCCATCTGCTAACCCTCTCCCCCCAACCCCCCCCCAAAAAAAGGGCGGGGAGACTTCATTTCACGCAGTGGGGCACTGGGGGGTTGGGAGGCTGGCAATGTGTCAAATGACCCAGCCCTTGGTAGGCCCCACACTTACCTGTGAGAAGCAGCCTTCTTTGGTGCAAATTCATATTCTTCTGGATACCAGCGTCTACACACAGCAGAAATGGAACTCTCAAAGGAAACTGTCTCAAATACACAGCATCATCACCAGCCAGTCACTCCTGCATCTGGGGCGTGACTGCCGGCCTGGCTCCCTATCGGGGCCTCCTGTCGGCGCCTGTTCTTCTCTCCCCTCGCTCCGGGTGTGCTCGGGCCAAGTTGGCCATGGTCTAAGGTTTCAGCCTCGGTATGCCCACCCCGCCAAAACCTGCTGGCCAACTGAACCTAAAACTCATCCCAACACTTCAAATCCAACATCTCTAGAAAGTCACGCCTGCCGGCCCTTTCTCTCTCTGAACAATGCCAGTCACCCAGGTAAACTGACAAAGTCCAAACACCAAAGTCGCCTGGAGCCTTCCTCTTCCTTTCCTCTGCCCGGTCATTCCAGCGCTCGCCCATGAGGGGCACCCTCGCCGACTGCCATTCTCAAACTATCTCCATCCCCCTCTGCTCGGTCCCCTTGCCTTCCCTTTCTCAGAGCTGACTCACCCGTCTTGTCACCCCATTTATCTCCCGCTTTCTGCTCAGAGAGCTCCCATCATCCCATCCCTCATTCCTCTTTGCTTAAAAGAAACGCAAAGTATTTCTAGAGGAATCCCATCTCTTATGAGCTGATGCTCCCACCCTGAGCCCTGCCTCTTCCAGCCTCCGGCCTGGACACCCCACTGAGACGCATGAGCCTGGACACGGCTGGGCCCTCGTCCTTCCTGCTCCCTCCTATACTGCCTGTGCTCTGAACAGCCTCTACCTGCTCAAATCATGGGAGCACTTCTACTCTTTCTAAACGGCCACGTGAGAGCTGCTTCCGGTCTCAAGCTTTCCCTGGCTCGCCCCTTTCCTGGCCCTTTCTGACTCTCTCTGCACAAGGCGGTGTCCGAGCTCGCAGAGGCCAGGCTAAAGCTGTGTCCTCCACACCTCTGTCACCCCACCGGGTTCCTGGCAATTGGCGGGTTTTCCCTCGGAAGTGCCGGCACGCACAAGTCCCACAGCTGCCTGCCAGAGCCTGGGCAGCCCCTCGAGCTTCTGATTAAGCACGAGCACTGGATTTCTGACACTGCTTCCCCACCTACTCTCACTAGTCCAGGATGAATTAAGGCCCTGCCCAAGTGAGAATGGGATGAGGAAGTCAGTACACCCACTCGGCAGATGCTCAGCGCTAAAGCACTATTCAGTTAACTTTCCACAGATTTCTCAATTAAAACATGCTAAAGAAGGCAACTTAATTGATCCTAAATATAGCCCTTACCTGCACAGTTCTTTAACAGTGCTCACATCAATTATTCTATAATGAAGATGTTTCATGAACTGGGGCATGTATTTGTCAAGAAACTTCTTATCTGCATGAACTGAATTTCCTAGAAAGACACGAAGCATACCGCATCTGTGTATTTCTAGACGTTACACGAAAGGAAATAAAAGCTCACAAACTATATTTGAAATGAAGATGAATTTTTTCTTTGTTTTCATTTCAAACCATTTCTAAAAGCACCTAAAGATTTCTACGTGAGGTTTTGAGTCTGGTTGATTAGGTGACACAGTTCACTCATCATGGATTTGCAAATATCCTCTCAATGACAAGGATAAATCTACCAGGGAACATACTTTAAGATAACATACAGATCTATTTGTTACTCTAAAAAAAAAAAAAAAATCACACCTGATGCATAGATTTTTCTCCCAAGGTTCCAAAATCCACACCACTAACACTGAAAATTTATACTGGATCACATAAGTAGACAAACCTTTATTTACATTCCAGTTATAACAAACCATAGCCATATTCATGTGTCCATACAGCAATGTATATTTAAAAACACTACATTTTAAATGAGAACTTTAATATAGACACCAGTCGGCCGCATTGGCTGGGGGAGTGGAAGGGTGGGGTCTGGGGGTGGGTGGGGAGGGGAATGATACAATATATGCTCTGGAACTTAACGTCAAACTTTTTAAAAGGATGTTTAAAATAAATATAAGTTACTACATCAGTTTACATATACAAATACAAATATATCTCCATAGAACATTAATTTCCCTCTCACAATGGCAGGCATTTCCAAATCTTGAAGAAATGGCCCCGTGACTCAAAAAAGTGTCACAGGAAAAAAAAAAAAGCCAGATGAACATTTTCAATTGAAACTAAAGAGATATAATAGCAAATAAAATGCATGAGTCTTGATTAACTATTGCTAAAAAAAGAAAAAGAAATGGCTAGACACTTTGGCCGTGAACTCGACATCAGAGGGTGTTACTGGATTACTTTTAATTATCTTAATTTAAATGTGATCATGACATGGTGGTTACATAAGAAAACAGTGTCCTCAATCTTAGGAAATGTTTGATGGTCATGTGTTTTAAGAATGAAGTGTGATGACGCCTGCAAAATTACTTTCAAAAGTCCAACCAAAAAAATAAGACAGGCAAAGCAAAAGGGGGCACACAGTTAACAATCACTGAATCCAAGTTTTCTGTACACTTGAGGATATTCCCCTAATACAAATACAGGGAAACGTCTGATTGAGGTAGTCTGCGTATCCCAGGGCTCGGGTCAAGTTTCAGGGCGCTTTCCCCACATTCGTGTGGAAAAACTTGAACACAAAAGTTTTAATAGGTGTAATCCAAATCAGAGTAAGCGGCAGACAAGACGGTCTCGGCCGATCTTTCTGGAACTGCAGTCTCTTGAGCCACTACAGGAGGCTATTCTAACAAGGGGACGGAGGATTGGATTTTACCTGCAAGTGGACAGAGCCCCGGAGGAGTCTGCTGTCGGACAAAGGACAGAAATTCATACTCTGCCTGCTGCAGTGTCATTGTGCTCTCCTTCACTGCCTTGGTTAGACCAGACTGCAAGAGAGAATGCCCGGCCCCCCCACCAGAAACACATGAAGTCAGTTTTCAAAGGCATCCAGAAACACAACTTCACTTCTAAGGTGGACAAATATAACCAGAGCTAACCAGACCTGGCTCATTTATCAAGCTCAAGTTCAAACTGAAACAGCCATCTCTGCATCCAAAAAAAAATTGTTTTCTCCAAGAATCCAAGTCAAATTACGCTATGTTCCCCGACTGTTAATAGCATCTCCACGAGAGGGGGGTGTGTGGAGGGAGGAGAAAAAAAATGGTGCTCAAAGTCCAAGGACTGAACCTCTGGCAAGAAACAACTATTACCAGGTGAGCAGCACTGCCCCTGCTCTGACAGCTGACAGCTAACCTTATCCAAGACGGACTTGAGCAATACTTGACAATCCACACTGCGTTCTCAACAGATTGAATGCAGGAGAAGAAAAAAGAGGACATTCAGGAGGAGATGATCTCCGAGGTCCCAGAGACGAAAGGTAAACTAGCATGCGGACTCCCGGACTGGCCAAGCCACCTTCCTCTAACCCTGTCTTAAACACCATCTAACAATGGCCCTGGGCTCAGAGGTGGCAGCAACAAGCTGGTTACAGGTCCCCAAAGCAGCAATCCTGTCATTTGGTAATGTTACCTTCCCATGATGCTCCTTACACCAATCTGACATGCTGTCCAGTAACTCATCTGGCTGTTTAATAATCAGGTTAGGGCCCTGTGGACAGGAAAAGCCATTAGACATCCAGAATCAACAGGGAAGACGTGGGTTTCTGAGGTATAGCTTAAGCCGCTTTAAGGATTAAATATACTTACCAAAGAACGTAAGAAATAAGGGCACTTTGTTAACTCTAAAGACAGTCCTCATTCACTCCTGCACTATTATAGCAAAAAACATAAAAACAACAAAAAAATCCTACATAATCACCCTCCCCCACACACACAAATACCTACTAGTAGAAGACACAGATATTGGGCAAAGGTCAGCAAATTACAGCCCCAACCTGTGACTTCTTATTTTATTTTTGCCAGAAAGTGCACAATTTTTTACACATATTCGTAAAAGTTTATTAAAAAAAAATTAAAAACACGTAACAAGAGGTAATGTAGCACTCTAACCCTAAAATATTGAACATCTGAGTCATTTCAGGAAAAGTCTGCCAGACCCTGATTTATTTTAAAAAGAACTAATACTGAGAGGAAAATAAGCAAACTGCAAAATAGTAAATAATTGCAGACTTTCATTCACAGATGTTTAAAAAAGAAAATCACATATTCACAGAAACTCTGGAGAGCAGACCAGGAGAATAGGGGTAAAATAAATGCTTATGGTATGGGGCCAGAGTGATAGCACAGTGGGTAGGGCGCTTGCCTCATATGTGGCTGACCTGGGTTCAATCTCCCGCACCCCATATAGTTCCCTGAGCTCCACCAGGAGTGAACTCAGAGCCAGGAGTAAGCCCTAAGCACTACTGGGTGTGACCTCGAAAGAGAGAGAGAGAGAGAGAGAGAGAGAGAGAGAGAGAGAAAGAAAGAAAGAAAGAAAGGTACTGTACATTTATTTTAGATAAAATTCTACTCTTTCATTTTAACAGTATGTATTTTTGAACTGTATATATGTATTTTTTCCTGTTGGAGGGGTCACACTGAGTGATTCCTGGGCCGGCGAGGGCTGGGACTCAACCCCAGGATGAAAGAGAGGCCCTGCATGTCCTGGCGCCATTTAATCCAAACATTCAATGGGGAGTTTTTCCACAGGGTCTCGGCAATAACAGAAACCAGACTGGGCCCTTCCAGCCAGTCCCCCGGGCTTAGTTTCTGGGGCTGGAGGGTGGGACCGCAGATCTCTCCCCTTCCAGTAAAGATCACAGGATCAAAGAAGCCACGATAATGGAAGTTCTGTGAGCCTTCTGGAAGATGCAGACTGTACGTCCAAGGCATCATCATCACTACCAAGGAGGAAGAAAGTTTGCGAGCACTGAGATGTTTGCCTGTGGGTCCAGGCTGGGAGCTCCTGCTCAAAAGCTGAGCTGCACACTTGGACCCTACAATCACTGAAATGACCAACGAGAATTTGACTGAACTGCCTGACGTGACACAACCAACAAGGGCTTCTAGCCAAACAGGAAAACGGGCAATCTCTGTGGAGATGCAGCAGAAATTGTGCTCAGCTAACATTACATTAAAAGATCAAAATAAAAAAAAAAATCTCATCATTTAAAAAAAATAAATCTGATTAAAAAAAAATCCAACAAAAATCCTATTCATCTGCAATAGGCTAAATAACATTCTAGATCCCAGTTTGGCACACAGCACTACCTACAGAAAAAAAAATTTCTAAGTAGAGTATTTGCTGTTCTGCCAGCATAAAACATTTGCCCTCAGACCTGTATACGAGAATAAAACAGATTTTTCCATGGAATCGACACATAAATGCCAACAATCCCTCAGCATTAAAAAAAAAAAAAAACTATCCTTATCCTCATGTGACTGAGTCTATTTGCAAATGCCACACTCATCTGTAGCTGTGGGAAGACAGACCCAGATTTCCTCCAGGGTCCAGATCAGTTAAATGGCCCATTAAACTGTCAGTATTTCACATTATATCAACAGTCCAAAGGAAATACTCTTCTGTGGCCAAGGATAAGCAGGGCTGGTCAAATAAAGACACTTCTCTTGAGTATTCATCTCCACCAATTCCCAAACAACCAAACCTAAAACTCAGATATTTATAGAAAGCTGTTTTTAGATTAGAGTTTTCCCCCCACCCCTTTTTGGAAAGGTGCTAGATGCTATAGGGAAAAATACAAAGTCGCGGGCTACCTTCTCCAGGTGAAATTGTTGGGGGGAACTTTAAGACTGCTATTCCACATGTCTGATACTCCACAAAATAAAACTTTCCCAAGAAATGCCTTCTCCCCTTTTTTTTACCTTCCCCACACAGTCTTAGATGGAGATTTATCAAATTGACCTGTGCTGAGCGTAAATGAAGTCTGCCCTCTGGGAACTCATTTGGAAAAAAAGACTCTTTCCCAGTTAATTCTTACCATTCTATTTGCCAGTTTTTTTTTTTTAAAGTTTTGTTGGAATAAGCAATAGAAAGTAAATTGGTTATTTTCCAAAAGGGGGCAGGTTAGGACTAGGAGGGATACTGGGATACTGGTGGAGGGAAGCAAGGTCACACTGGTGGTGTTGGAACGCTAAATGCATGAAACAACTGCATAATGAATAACTTTGTTAAATCATGATGTTTTTAATTCAAAAAAATAAAAAAGACTTTCTTTTCCATGGACATTCCTCCTGTGTCCTTCTTCCAGAGTATCTTGCTGCCTCTGAACATTGCTGGTGACAGGAAATGGTCACCCAAAGAAAGCCTGGGGCTGAGGCTCTAGGAAGGCAATACCCTTTACACGCTTGGGAAACTGTCACACATTCAAAGAGGCTTCATGCACAGTCAAAAGGCAACAGGTGGGCTTTTGTTTCTAATGCCTGCCAGTTGAAAAGGCAGAACTTGGATCTACAGAGCCAAGTTAGAGCTCAGGTTATCGTGGGAAGAAGTCAACTTTGGTCACTAATCCTGGCAGGACACCTCTTACTGGTCTTACTGGTAGGCCTCGAGGAGTTAAACTGGTTTCCCCAACAGCCAGCGAGGTAGCCCTGGGCAAAATATTCCACAGACCTGTGCCAAAATATCCTCTTCCATAAAATAAACAGACAATATCTCCACCGAGCTGCGGCTGTAACGATTCTGAGTGAACAAATGCAAATAAAGCATTTACCACTGTGCCAGGGACCTGGTAAGCTCTCAGTAAATGATAAAGCACATTTCTGTAACTTTGCCCCAACTTCCTGAAAAATAACCAGGCTGTGAGATGGAGTCCCTTGGTGCTAGTGCCCATGTTACCTGACCTACTACACCACGTGGGGCTCTGTGGATTTCTTTCTTAAATAAAGAGATGGGAGGGGCGGATGATTTTGACATCCATCCCCACGACATTCTCAACTGCGTGACCGGCGCCCGCCACCTCACCTACCTCGGCCAGGATGTTGAGATCAGAATCTGTGATCAAGCAGGCCATCTCAATAATCTGGTCCTTCTCAATGTCCAATCCTGTCATCTGCAATAAGAAATCAGTCTCTTTAACAAACACGAAACCTTCGTTCTGGCCTATAAACTCGGGTCACAAGTTCACACAACAAGGGTACCCTCAAAGTGCTCAGTTTATGTCCCAGTACACACACACGCACACACACCCCACACACCCCTTGTTCTGGCCTATAAACTTGGGTCACAACTTCACCCAACAAGGGTACCCTCAAAGTGCTCCATTTGTGTCCCAGAACACACGCGTACACACACGCGCACACACACCCTCTCTCTCTCTTTCTCAAGGGTACCCTCAAAGTGCTCCGTTTATGTCCCAGAACACACACACACACGCACTCTCTTTTTTTTCATTTTGAGACCCCACCCAGCAATGCTCAGGGGTTACTGACACACACACACACACACACACACACACACACACACACACACTCATTTTTTCATTTTGGGACCCCACCCAGCAATGGCTCAGGGGTCACTACTACCTCTGCGCTCAGGGACCTCTCCAGGCCAGAACCCAGCGCCCTCCCGGCCCTACTACTACTGCTCCGGCCCTCGGCACCAACCCACACAGGAGGGGCAGTGAACAGTCTCTGGGCAAGCCCTCGGGCACCAAACGTCCATCAGTGATTCAGTAGGTCCGTATCCGGGCCTGCTGCGGGCCTGCCAGCTGGTTCTCCCGCAGATGCAGCGCCCTCGGCGGCGCGGAGCCCGCTCGGCCGTCCCCCCCAGCCCCGTCTCCGAAGTTTCCCGGGGCGTGCCAGGCTTGTGCTTCGCCCCACTTCGGCGTCGCGCACAGCTCGGCCGACTCCCGGGAGCCCCGGAGGAAAAGTGAGCGGGGGGAGGGGGCGCGAGCGGGGCCGTCCCGGGCGCGAGACGGGAGACCCCGAAAGCCGGGTGGGCGCCGAGTGCGGGTCCCAGTCCGCCGCCGGCCCCGGCCGACCTCGGGGGGAGCCGAATCCTCCTCCCCGGGCCTGGGCTCTCTGGAATGAGGGGCCGGGCTGAGTCACGTCCGGAGTCCCGTCTCGCTCTAGCCGCCCGGGTTCGGAAAGGCCGGGGCGGAGCGGGGGCGCGGCTGCGCCGGTGCGGGGCCCCGGGGCGCTGGGGGCGGGGGTCCCGGCCGAAGGGCGCCCCCGAGGGCCCCGCCCGGCCCCGCCGCGCCCGGCTCCGCGCTGCCCCGCGCAGGCCCCCGGCCCGGGGCCCCGAGCCCGGCGCCCTCGCCGTCCCCGCCCGCCGACCTCACTCACCTCCAGGTCCACCCAGACCATCCGCTGGGCCATGCTCTCCCCTGCCGCCATGGCTGCGCCCCCCGCGCGGAACCCGCGCGCCCCGACCTGCCCGCGGCGCCCACCCACACCTCGCAACAGCCCGGCGCCGAGGGAGCCGCCTAGCATCCCCGGCACGCGCCGCCACGGCCCCGAGCTCCGCCGCCGGCGCCGGCGCAGGCGCGCTGGTCGCTAAACGTCGCCAACCCGCGGGGAGGCGCCGGGGCCGCGGACCACAAGTCCCGGCGTGCCCCGCGCCGCCGCCCGCTCCGCTCGCCCGGCCCGGCTGCCGCAGGGGGTGACGGGACTCGGAGTCCCGCCGGCTGCCGGGGCCGCGCTCCCCACCCCCGCCACGTGTTTTCGGGTGTTACTGGACGCGGATGTTTTTCAGAACTAAGTTGGTTCGTTTCAAAGAGTTAGTTCCTGAGTCTGCTTAGTCTCCAACCGCCTTGACGAGAGAGACTCCGCGACCTCATCTCGTTGAAAAGGACATTTGTCTATTTAGGATTATACATCTATCTATATATATACAAATTTTATATATATGTATATATACACACAAATAGACACACGTGTGCGTCTGCGTCTTCATATATAGTTACTCCCCCACTTTTTCCACTTATGTGCTTCATTACTCAACACATATACGTGTGTTTATATATTTATTTACCCCCCCACACACAAACCCCATTTTTTTCACTTATCTGCTTTATTGCTCAACACAAGGTTGGGTTTTTTTGCTGGGTTTTTTTTGTTTTGTTTTGTTTTTGGGGGGGATTTGTTGTTTTATGGGGGGTTTTATTGTTTTGCTTTACTCAAGAGGTCAGGGCAGTGTGTGCCTTTATTTTTTTAATAGAAGCCTAGTGACACTATCATTAAAATTTTTACAAATGCTTAGATAAAATCTTGCCTCACATTTCATGAGATCTTATACCACAATTTCACTTGGAACTCATGAGATGTTCAATAAAGTTCCCTGCCTTGATTTGGCACAGGGTTATTCTGTATTTGTTACACTGTCCAGGTTGCAGGTCGGCTGCTATGTGTCACTGGTGATGAGACTCCACCAGCACAAGTTCAAAGCCTAGCAGACCTGTGCAGGAAACTGAATTACTACTAAAATCACCTATGTCCTCTCTCAATCAGCTTCAGTTTTCATCAAATTATCTTTAATGTGTCCCAACAAGTTAAAATTTCTATTACTGGATCCAGATAAAAGAGCAGGTAAGGGTACCTGCCTTGCACACAGGTCTACCAGGTCCATCCAAGGCACTGCACATGTTCCTCCAGAACTCAACCCTGAGCACACAGCCCATCTGTGGCCCGACCCAAATAAATAAACAAATGAACTAAAATAAGATGAATTTCCAACATACCCAGGCAGGGAGATGCCACCAAGAGGGTTTTGGGACCTACTAAAGCACAGGCATCTCTTAAATGGTGGAAATGAGGTAGCAAATGAGTGAGCAGAGAGCAACTTTGTCACAAATACTAGTCTCAGCCTGGTATTCAGGGTCACGGTCCTCCCGTTGTTCATGGATTTGCTCAAGCGGGCCCAGTAACATCTCCATTGTGAGACTTGTTACTGTGTTTGGCATATTGAATATGTCATGGGTAGCTTGCCAGGCTTTGCCATGCGGGCAAGATACTCTCGGTAGCTTGCCAGGCTCTCCGAGAGGGGCGGAGGAATCGAACTCGGGTCGGCCATGTTGGCTGTGTGCAAGGCAAACGCCCTACCGCTGTGCTATCGCTCCAGCCTTAAAGAGAATTAGAGCAGATTATGGTTTCTTATTTTCCTGAAAGCCATATTGCTGCTAATAGGAGATTAAGTTCTGATTCATAGTGATTCTTACTCTGTAAACAAAGCTCTTCCCTAGTTCAGTGAGAGAAACCTCTACAGTTCCAAGCGATCGGGAAAGCACCGAATTTCACGTACTACTCCCACTCCGAGAGTATCTTGCCCCCACGCCAAAGCCTGGCAAGCTCCCTGTGATGTATTCGATATGCCAAACACAGGAACAAGTCTCACAATGTTACTGGGCCCGCTCGAACAAATCGATGAACAACGGAAGGACAGTGACAGTGACTCCCACCCCCAACTAACCACCAGCCAGCCAGGACCTCAAATTTTCTTTGACGTTTCCTCATATAATATACAATACTTACTGTATATGATATGATGAAATATCCTACACAATCATAAGCAATAGAGACTTCTTGTTCACTGGGTGTAGACTGCAACTGTATTACAGGATGAGTCACAGTATTACTAGTTTTTTATTCCTTTGTGTCTGCTTTGTTACAATCTAAACTTTGGCAACTCTGAACAGAAAAGTGTTTAAAAGTTGTGGGATGATAGTAACTAACAAAAAATCAGGTGCTAAAATAAGAAAAAAAAATTAAACAAAAACAGCAAGGAAAGGACATTATGCTTTATTGTGCTCCTAAGACATAAAGATTGACATACTTATAAACAAATTTTACCTCAATTACCATTTTTAAATAGTTTGTTACAAAGAAAGTATTTTTCTTTAATGTTTTCTTCAAACATCAATGTACATCATTAATCCTACTTACATGAGGTCCAAATCTAGAGAGAAGAGGATATAAGTCTGAATCAGCAAATGACAGGCCCCAGCATGCTGTGCATCTCCCAAAATGATTGTGGTTCCCCTACCTTCACCTGAGGGCTTGTTGGCCTTGAATTTGGGGTCCGCCAAGTAGGTTTCTCCATGAAGCATTCTCCAATCTTCCCTTTTTTCTTTTTTGTTTCCAAATTAATCCTATTTGTGGTTAAAACAAGAGTGATTTTGTTGCAGTCAACATTTCTTAGTTTTGTCTGATTTTATCTTACAGTACCAGGGATGGAATCCGTCACTTCTTACATGCAGGACGGGGTTCACTGCCACTGAGCCAGATTCCTGACCTAATTTGTCTTAGTTTGTTCCTGTTTTGCTTGGTTTTGGAGCCACACTTAGCAACACCCAGCGCTTACCTCTGGATCTGTATTCACGGATGACTCCATGACTCCTGGCAGTGCTACAGGACCATACGCAGGTGCCCAAGACAAAACCGGGGGCCGGGGGGGGGGGGGGGGGTAGTTAAGCAGCCCCAAGCATGGCAAAAGGGCCTTACATGCTGCACCATCTCTGCGGCTCCCAGCATTTCTTAAAGTTGGTTCATAAAGTCAAAATACAGGAACTTTTATCAATAGGCTTTTTTTAAAAAATGATCGATCCATCCTTCTAAAGTATTACTTTTTAAGGGGCTAGAGCAATAGCACAGAGGATAGGATGTTCGCCTTGCATGCGGCCAACCCGGGTTCGATTCCCAGCATCCTGTCTGGTCCCCCAAGCACCACCAGGAGTAATTCCTGAGTGCATGAGCCAGAAGTAACCTCTGTGCATCGTCGTGTGTGACCCAAAAAGCGAAAATTAATTAATTAAATAAAGTATTACTTTTTAAAATTTTCAAAGGATGCCTTTGTTTTCAAAATTAACCTTTAGATCATTAACCGGTTTTATTACAAAACACAACATGCTGTTTACCTTTGAAAACTTATATCCTGAATATTTATAGTCATAATTTAAAAATATTTAAGTTAAAATCGTGTGCGGATATGTATGAAACATTAATTCATATGAAGTGTACAAACATGGAAGACATAAATAATGAACTTTCATAATAACAACAGACATTTCAGTGAGTGGATAAATGTAAGATTACAGTGTATAGTGGGTCTTTTTTGTGTAACAGATCAGTAAAGGTAAAGGCCCTCCCGTTGATCGTCGATTTGCTCGAGCGGGCCCAGTAACGTCTCCATTGGAGACTTTGTTGTTACTGTGTCTGGCATATCGAATACTCTCGGTAGCTTGCCGGGCTCTCCGGGAGGGGCGGAGGAATCGAACTCGGGTCGGCCATGTTGGCCGCTTGTAAGGCAAACGCCCTACCCGCTGTGCTATCGCTCCAGCCAGTAATCTTAAATTTACAAACCCACACCTTGTAGGAGGGAGCCCCGAAGAAGAATAGGCCCTTGTTTCTGAGAGCAGTCTCATCTCTGCGAGGGCTCCATCATTTCTATTCCTTTTTCTTTCCCAACAGAATCCACTGTAGAGTCACACCGCGCTACTTGAAAACTGCAGTTTGTGTTTTTGTTTTCCGTGTGAACCAAGAAGGGGTTGCTCTCATGAACGTGAAGGGCCTAGAGCCAAAGTCCTGGACAGTGAGGCAGGAGTGCGTCTCACACGCCCGAGGCCTGGCTTCTATCTCTGGCCCCAGCACTCCTACTATTACTAATAACCAAGCATGAATAGGAAACCTTGCTGTCCGAGGCCATTTCAGGGGGAACAGAGCATGTGTTCTTTTCCTACAGGGAAGGGGGCTCTTCCCAGTGCAGTACTGGGGTGGCAGTGCCCAAGGGTACCAGGCGGTGCTGTGGTTGGAAGCCAGGCTCCTGCGTGCACAGCCCACGCCCAACCCACTGAGCTCTCTCCTTGGCCCTGGAATGTATCTTCCTCAAGAATCTGCACCACTGGGTCACTCTGACAGAAAGCAGCTGTCACCACTTTTAATCCAGGGGGGTGGGGGTGGGGGCGCAGAGATACAGATAAAGGGTTTTCAGATCAAAAAACATTCCACATTTATCTTAACTTGGTCGTTTCTAAGGGCACAGGGCCCTGAGTCAGCTCAGCTCTGCTGGGAATCACACAGGCGATGTTTAGAATAGGATCTATGGGCAGATATCTGACGGCACACAGTCCCAGCTCCTAAGCCTCCCCTGAGATGACACTCGATTATTTTTGTTTGTTCATTTTGTTCTGTTTCTAGGCCACCCTCGGAGGTGCTCAAGGATCACTCCTAGCATTGCTTGTGGACCTATGCAGTGCTGGGAATGGAACCCAGGAACCCAGTATGTTTACGGCAAGAGTTAAAGCAAGCATCTTCAATCTCTCTGGCCCTTTACGTGCTTTTTTAAACACAAAAATTTTTATTTCTTAATTAACAAGAAACTGTTCACTGAAACCATTCAAGTTCGCTGTCACCAAGCGTCTTCAGCATGTTGTGTTGTAAAAACCATTACCATCTCTTGCATCTTGCCAAATTGGTTATTCCCTTTTGAATGCCTCTGTCTGTATCCAAACCCATCTCAGCCTGGGAACCCCCTTTCTAGTGACTTTGACATC